AGACTTGATCTTCTTATTGGGCCTCGTAGATTCCTCAAACTTCCTCTTTTCGCCAACCTCAATCTTGTTGGCAGCTCTTCCCTTAATCATATCTTCCACATACTTGGCAGCCCAGATAGCTGCCTCCAGAGTAGGTGCCTGACGCACTGGCACCGCGTACTCCCATGGAAGTCCCTTTGCGTACTTGTCGATTTTCGTCAGCTCATCCGGAACAAGACGCAAGGCAAACTCCATCTTTTCTGTAAAGTTGTTCGTGTATTCATCGATTGACATGCTTCCCTTCTTCAGGGTTAGAAACTGGTTCTCTAGCTCAAGCAGGTTTTGAGCTGAGCAGTACTTTCGTTTGAATTGCACCAGAAATTCTGCCCATGTCAGTTGCAGGGGCTCATTAGGGCTCAGAGTCTTCCCCAAGGTATTCCACCAACGTACAACACTTCCTCGAAACTGACGCACTGCAAATGTGGTCTGTAGCTTCTCTCTGCAACCGCATGTCATGAAGGCTAACTCCATCTCCGAGATCCAATCCATGACCCCGATCGGATCCTCCTTTCCAGTGAAAGTCGATGGCTTGCAAGTCAGAAAATCCTTGTACTTGCATCCATTCCTCTCGACTTCGTCATCTTGGTTGTTTTGTCGAACTATTGGTGGGTTGACTTGACCAACAGTCCCACTGTAGTTTCCTTCCTCAGTCCGCCCTTCGTTCAACTCGGGCTGTTCGATCTGAATAGTGGCTTCCTCACGATTTTGCTGGAGCAAACATCTAGTTTCCTCCATTTGACGATCCAACATCGCTTGGATCATCGCTTGCACTCCGGCCATTGGGACTGGCTCAGCGGCGGCTTCTATCACCGGTATTTGCTCAATCACTGGGGGTTGGTTTCTGTTCCCATTTGCATTCATGTTTCCACTACGGGTTCTTGCCATCTTGATCTATACACCGAATAAGGTGAATCTAGATCTTTACTTAGGATTGATGGTTAAATCATCCTTATCACTCCGAAACGTTTATATGCTAGTTCTAATATCGTAGTCGTACGTTTAGAATCCTAAACACATAAGGTTTCCAGATCCGGTCGGCAACAGACCATAGATCCGAACAACTAACAGCATATCAGGCACAAGTATTTAGCACATAAAAGCATTTTAGGCACAATTCCTAAAATAATCTAGTGCTCACACCTCACAATCATCGCTTAGCATTCTAAGTTTAAGTCTAGAAATAAATCCATATTCCTAGTTCGCTTAAACTAATGCTCTGATACCAACTGTGACATCCCCATTTTCACGGCCAGAAAAGACCGATTTTGTTTATGCTTTATAAAAATCAGAGTACTTCATTTTATAAAAAGGTTGCGGAATTTGTTCCCAGAAAAACACGATAAATACGTTATTAAAACATTTTCGAAGAAACGTATTTTTATTCATTTAAAACGTTTGGGATGTCATCGTTAATACAGAAACATAAGCATAAACAGAACTTACATGTATTTACACTAGTGATCTACATCTCTTTAAATCTCTCAGTGTAAAGTGACTTCGTATCAACACCTGTGATATAAATAAACCGAGTGGGTCAGGTTGGGAAACCTGGTGAGTACATAGGGTTTTCAACCCACAATAATATAATTATTATGTTCAATCAAAGAATCAACCCAATTACCCATCCCCGTTATCTTTTTTTTTACTCTTTAAGGATTTATCCTAAGAGTCATCTATTCTTCATTCGTTTATTCCGAAGTCCCTTACTTCCAGGGTTCTAGGACTGGCACTAAATCCATAGCTGCCAATGTTCGTTCATAAAGCACTAATTCCATAGCTGCTATAGTCTATTCATCGGGTACTAAATCCATAGCTACCAGTCTTTATCTAATAGGTACTAAGTCCATAGCTACCAATGTTCAACAGGTACTAAATCCATAGCTACCAACGTCTAACAGGTACTAAGTCCATAGCTACCGGTGTTTGTCCCATAGGCACTAAGTCTATAGCTGCGAATGTATACTCACATCATCTTCTATCTATCATCATTTATCTACCCATCATCATACCCAACATATTCGTATATATAAAATACGTATACAGTTTAAATCCTTTAAAACATGTATAAAACGTTCATCCAGCATAGACAGCAAGTATTCGGATAATATGCACACATAGCACGTAGTTTATATAAAATACTTCATATCTATGTGTAAGATGAAAGAGACTATGCACTCACAACACGTAAATTATATAATAAATACTTCATATCTATGTGTAAGATGAAAGGGACCATGCACTCACCTGAGAAGGTGGTGACTCGGTACTCGGACAGCGCTTCGTTTACTTTAAAATAATTTCTTTCGACGAAACCTAGTATTATCACCAATAGATTTTAGTCTATTATTCGCCGAGACTAATTAATAGTCTAGCTATTATTACTATTATATAAACGTTAAAAAAATACTTATATAACCCATAATAATAGCCCAAGTATTTATTATATGTTCTTAATAACGTTAATATAATTAAATAAAAACTATATTAAAAATAGCGTAGGCGTAGCTCACTTACAACGGGTTTTTATAGAAAACCAGGTTTTGCTTGGAGCAGCGTTTCCGAGCCGAAAAGCTCTTCTTCTCGGAGCCGTCGAGCACTCCGGGGCTTCCGCCTCGTGCTAGGGAGGTTCCCTAGGCTTTTCGGGGGATTTCGGGGCTAGAGAGAGGTTCTAGAGAGAGAGTAAAGAGAAGAAAGAATGGGAAAGGTGTGAAGAAAATGAGGGTGGGAGAGGTGGTATTTATAGGGTGAAAATGGCTGAACTTGGTGCCACATGTCACCATCTAGTGGCAAAACTTGGGGAGAAAGCAATGGCCAAGATTGTGCCACATCACCCATTTTCGCACAACACACTTCCGACTTCTAAAATCCGTAACTTTCACATACGACCTCCGTTTTTGACGTTCTTTATATCCACGCGTAGGTAAAAATAATATCTACAACTTTCATTTTGACTCCGTCGGCTAATTCTCGACCAATCTTAAATTTAACAGTACGAGGCGTTTAGACTGTTAAATGACCGCAAAGAATTCGTAACTCCTTCATACGGACTCCGTTTTCGTCTGTCTTTTTACCGTTGAGTTCCTATTAATGAGATCTTCAACTCTCATTTATTTCACGTAAGCCAAAAACCGCTCGAACTAAAATTCGAGTTTCGGGCTGTACACTGCTAAGCCGAATCTTAGAAAAATCATAACTTCCTCATACGAAGTCAGATTTGGGCGTTCTTTTTATCGACGCTCTTAGTTTAACATATTATACGACTTTTGTTTAGATTGCTAAGGCTAAAAAGTCTTCTATCGTAAATTCACTATTTACGTCTTCCGGTGTTGTGTCGGTTTTGCCGTAAAACTTCGGCGGGCCATAACTTCTTCGTTATAACTCGGATTTCGGCGTTCTTTATATGTACGGAAACCTTGTGAAATATTCTAAAACTTGGTTAAGACTATTCATTCTAAATAATCTTTTGTCGAAAAGACATTTTTGACCCCTATTGCCTCTAAATTGACTAGCCCGGATCTGCGGGCGTTACACGCTCTCAATAAACTTTACATTCACACGAGGGTGGCGAGAAGTCCTATGCTTCTATCAACACACTCACCAGACCAAACCTTCTCAGATAAAACCCATTTCCCGCAAAAGGACCAAAATTACCCTTTCTCTTAAATCTCAGGAACTCATAATTAAATACTTTAAGAACGGGGCGTGATAGTTATTTAGCTTTATTCTTATTTGTTTAGGCATGTACGTCTACATGCCTAATGTAGCCAAACACTAGAAAACAATCAACATACTGCTCAAAAAAATTTCTCCAATATCTATCACCCTCCAATATTCCTAAATTTGGATGAAGTAGGTTTTCAATAACAAACCTCCATTGATTGTAATCGCCATAAAATTTGGGCACATATGGTGCTTGAAAATTGTTAGTATAAATTAATTTGAATGTCTAAAGTAGAAAAATATAACAGAAAAGTCCATGTGTATGTTACCATTATTTTAATAATTCACCTATATCTTCCTCCATTTTCATCTTGTTTGAATTGACTGTTTTCATGGTTTACAGGCTGCGCTACCACAAGCCATTGCGTCTTTTGTGTTTGCTAAGGAATACCAACTTCATACGAATGTGCTTAGCACAGCGTAAGTTCATTTACACTTCCATTTCATAAATAATGTGATAAATTAAAAATAATGTTCAATTAATTTGATCTCACAGTTGTACAATTTAACATCCAGGGTCATATTTGGCACAATTGTATCCATTCCTGTGCTGATTGCATATTATGCTGTACTAGACGTCTTAGTAACATAATGGCGTTATATTTTATTATTATTTTCGTTTGTCGGTATATTTGAATATTCACATGATATTGTAACACTTCAATAATGTGAAAACTTTTCTTTGAACATTCACAAGCAATCCACCTCTACATAAAGTCCGGTTCCTTTGGTTAACATCATACGTATAAGTTCGTTTATAGTACGTACGCTTCTATTTAGTAACAATTTTTTGAGTAAATTACACGAATGGTCCCTATGGTTTAGAGTAATTTATGTGTTTGGTCCCTAACTTATTTTTTTAACTCGGAAGATCCCTACTGTTTGTTTTTATTACACGCTTGGTTCCTATCTCAGCTAAAAAGACTATTTTGCCCTTGAGTTTTTAACTTATCTAAATAAACACATCCCCAAATCCAACCCCCTCACATTATCCTACCTAACATACCATTTTTTTCTATTAAAATAATAGTCTTTTTTGGTAAAACAGGGACCAAACGTGAAACAAAAACAAAAGTAGGGACCAAACGCGTAACAAAAACAAACATTAGGGATTTTCCGAATTAAAAAAATAAATTAGGGACCAAATGCGCAAATTACCCAAAATCATAGGGACCATACGTGTATTTAGAAGATTTGATTACCAAGCAACGGAGATTGAGTGAACCAATATAAATAGAGGTTTATACCATCGATCTTAGAGCACACATACTGGTGCCGGAGGGAACACCTTCCCACCACTTGGCACGGTAAAAGAGAAGCCTCTACTGCAAGGTTGTCGTGATGATTTATAACCCAAAATGAGTAGTTTTACAAAATAATAATAATAATAATAATAATAATAAATTATAAAAAAACATATAAATACCCTTAAACTTTCTTATTTTTTTGAGCCATTTTAATAAAACATTCTTCCAATATACTCTACTATTTGACTAGAAGTCTAGAACGTACGTAGGTGAATGCGGTATCAACGCGTAAGCGTGCAATATAACACATGTTGGGGTTGGAAATAAAATATTTTTATATAATGTTTAGTCTTCTAATTTTTTTCTATTAATAACATATTTCATTTATTAATTTAATATATTTTATTTTTCTTATTAAAAAGGTGAAAGTTGGAACGCAATAGAAAGATTACAATTTTCAAACACTACAAAAATATGTCATTTATTGGCACACAAAAAATATCACTAAAAACCACAAAATATGTCACTAAAGGCTTTTCAGAGAATGAGCGGCACACATAATAAGTATCACTAGAAATGCCTCCACTAAAATCCTTTAGTGGCGCTTATTTTTTGTGACGCTGCAGCTTTTAATGCTTTTGTGACATATTTTTATTTGCCATGGTAGAATTTTTGTTTGTGGCACATATTTTGTGACGATAAATACTAATTCAATTTTAGAATTTATGCTGATTTAGTGACACTTTTTAATTGTCATAGTGCAATTAAAGTTTTTGTAGCATATATTTTGTGCCATGAAATACTAATATGATTTTAGAATTATACTACTAACAGTGACATACTTTTTAGTTATGATATAAAATAAAAAACTAATGAAAATATAATCCACATAAAATAATAAAAATTTCACTGTTTTACATCAATGCCAAATATGTTTAAATGTCAAACCACATAGTCATTAAATATATAAAAAAACAAAGTAACAAAAGTAACAAATATATATATATATATATATATATATATATATATATATATATATATATATATATATATATATATATACAATTCATTACAGCTGAACATTTTCCCCAGACTTCATGTAATTTTGTAAACTTTGACCCGCTTCCTAATTGTATCAACATTGTCGTCTTTACTGAGTTTTCTCCCCTTTATAAAGAATCGAAATGTTAAAATAAGAAAAATAAAGCAACCTGAGTTTGCAGCTCCAATGATCCCAAGATGATTAGCATTGAATAAACCACTCAATAAAGCAACCTACATAAATTATTTTTTTAATAATTAAACGTCTTTGACAAAAAGAAGCTATGGGAAGATAAGTATCTTAAAATAAGGCACAGATGAAAAGTCAATGTTAACTTACCTGTGCCTTAGTTTGTTCAAGTTCTTGTTCAAGATGAAGCAGATTCAAACGACTAACTTGTACCGAACATATAGGCTTACTAATAAGAAAATGCAAGGTTCATAATAAGTTGTTAAATGAAAGCATATTAAAAAAATGATAATTTTATGCATATTTTTGTATAACTAGATGACAATTTAAACTTCATAACATAAAATAAAAGACAATTTTTAGAATTCTAAATTGAAAAGGAAAGTGATTTCTCTTGCATATCCCCTACCTTTTTCTGCAAATGGATTTTACGAGGTTCTTCAGTATTTGAACCTGTAAAGTAAACTTTAGTTATTAATAGTAACTAAAAGTAGAATAGCATGACTTCTAATATCGATCAATAGCAAGGCTAGTCATTGGCATATTGTACCTTATCACATGATTTACTTGCTTCTTGATCGAAATGATTAGAAGATCCAATTGTTGTGTGTCAAACATTCTCTGACTAAAAACACAACAATATACATTTTTTTCTTCAGAAAAGCAATAAAAGTCATGAGAATAACAAGAAAGATGAGCATTTAAATGATTACATGGTTGTCTAGCTTTGCATCCATCCCTATAATCATGGTAGCATATGCATCCTCATAGTTGTTTCCTTTGAAATCTCCCCATATACTAAAATAATGTATAAGATCATCTACATCCATCCTCTTTGAGTTGAGATACTGATTAGATGAGGAATTCATGGTGTTTTGTTAGTCCAATGAATATGCAACAATAAGCTTAAACTTCAACGTAACATCTTCACCATTAAAGAAAAAACTATGAGAATGAAAGTAAAAGCAATCATACATGTTAGTTATTACTATGGACTTATGGAGATTTCAGGGTTTAAACCATCACACTTTTAGCTAGTTTTTATAAAGGCAAACCCCCTTTCTTTAGCTGCTTTTCACTCTGCAATCAATGTTTTTTGAATATCTCCCTGCAATAGCAACAAATATGTTAAATTTAATAATAAATTCATTGCATGTGATGCATAATAGAGAATACATATGCATGGAATATTGTTCCGTGAATGAATAATGGAGAAGCAGTTGGCCCATAACAACCTATGACTCGACCTTATTTATCCACTAGCTCTTAGGAACAACTTTTTGCTTTATACTCTCACAATTAACATCCTTAAATTGAAAATGGAGATACCAACAATAACAAACATGACTGAAAGAAGCAGGAACACAACTACTATACTATTATTCATCCTGTTTTGCATTCCATCACACAGTAATGACTCAATGACTCATCAAACTAGAAATCAACTCATACCATATACATAAATAGACGAAATCAACATAATAAATCGACCAATGATCATAAATCGATCAAGAAATACAATTCAAGTAATTGGAATTTAGGTCTGCAAAATCAACCCTCAAATAAATCACCACTAAACTCGTTGAATATATGTCGAAGCATGAAATCGAGAAGCAATAGTTGTGAAGAATTCAATTTATAAGGGAGACGAAGATAATTAGGGACGAAAAATAGGGAGCACACCCCTGTAAGGTTCGAAGTGATGACGTGAATTTGGGAATTAATTCTCCATTTTTTTTAGAACGGAAGTAATAGAATTAGGTATCTATTCTTTGAAGTTTAAACTAATCAAGTGATTTTCTGGTTATCTAATATTGATTATTCACTTCACTTTAAAGCCTCGCATCCAAACAATGTTATCTTCTGGTTGAGATAATCGATTTCGATGGTTAGAGTGAAGAAAAGAGTACCTGATGAGCGGAGAATAGATGGAGATTTGTTGTTGAGAGTCTAAATTTCTATTGTATAGTGGCAGATAGTGTCACAGTGGTGTAGCGTAGCAACGTTGGTATTGTGATATCAGAGATGGAAGCAGTGAGCGGCAATGGCAGTATCGAGGTAGTGTTAGGTATCGGAGCGTATGAGAGAGAAAAGAGATTGACGAAATTGGGGTAAAAAACCAATTAGTCTCTGCTCTCTAAGAACTACAAAGTAAAAGGGGACAAGTATAAGAAACCGGGAAATGTTAAATTTCACATATACTTTTTAGCTATAAACATTGATTCATTATTGAACAGGGAATAAGAATAAGTTCAATCTTTTTAGTGGCACAAAAATAAATCAGTAAAATTGCACAATAAAAATTTAGTGGCATATAAAAATATATGACACAAAATATAAAGTTTTTAGTGGCATTTTAAATTTTTATGCCATTAACAAATTTTAATATTAGTGACATAAATTTTTAAGTGTCATTAAATATATTAAATTTCTAATGGCATATAAAATATGTCACTAAAAACATAGTATAGTGGCATAAAAAAGATATGACATTAAAAATATATGTCACTAAATGCAATTTTATTTGTAGTGAAGGTTGTGAGATGGTTGATGGATGAAGTGAGTATAAATTGACGTTGATATTGACATAGCTAGGGATATAAAAATGAAAATAGGACAATACCCTCCATCCTTAGAGACACCAAAATGGAAACGAGATGGAAGATAAGGAAGTGTAGAGACAATTGACTATAACAGAAGTGGTGTTTAGTGAGGTTGCAAGAGAGTTTTTCCGAGGACGGTTTATGGTAACACTGAACTTAAGGTTTTAAGTTGCTTGTTTTTTTGTGCAATATATAGATCAGTTATTAGTTTCTAGTTAGGTCATGCAAGTTGAGACACCTCAATAATCATAACCCACCCAAAATAAATCAGAAAATTAATGTGAGAATTATAAACCTATCATATTTAAGTTTCAATGTTTAATGGTATATGTATTGTAGTGACACTAAATATGATGATATCTGCATAATTATAAATATCTAGTGAATCATACAAACATCAAGAACACAAGGAGTAAATAAATACATTTAAGCTCCATTAGAATAGTAAGAGTACAAATGGGTTTTGAATATTCTCTTACTAAACTAACTCTTAAATGGGTCTTACAAGTTCTTAACTAAATGGGAATCACTCACTTCCTATTTATTGGAAAGAATCAACCCATTTTTACATACAAGAGGGTAAGCCACATCTAACGAGAACTTTACACCCTAACATTTTCCCCATCAAAGTTAGGATTGGATGTCCTGACTTCAATTTCCAAACGAGCTCGCGCGATCAATATTAACTCCCCCTTGAAATAACACTGTTCTTCAAATCAGCAAATGAATACCCGAGAAGTTTCGAATACCCATTTCTACATTCTCCCCTTTTATAATCTACATAAGTGATTATAAAACCCACAAAGGATGAGAAGCGCTCGAGGAATAAACTTGACGAATGTCCCCCTCGATGTGTGACAAAAATGCAATCGCAAAAATCTTGCACAAAAAACAATCATGAAAAGCTGAGAAAATTTTCCAAATATTGTGAAAATTTTCGACTTTTAGGTGAGAGTTGCAAGAATTTCGAAAACTAGGTAATAACTGTCAACTTCATAATTCTGCAGGGACCCGTTACACCAAAACAGCCTCAAATGCGAAACTTTACGCCAAATGTGAAACTGAGCATAAAGTGACAATTCGCATAAGCTTTAGGGACCAGATTTGAAAATTCTTCCCACTTCAAAGAATTTTACCCTAATGTCGTAAAATTTGCCAATTCGTTGAAACTTCAGGGGTTCGAATCAAAATTTTTGCATTCATCACAAAACTTTACTCCCAAGTCGAATATGGGTATTAGCTGCCAAAACATTGAAACTGTAAGGACCATATGCGAATATTTTCCTTTCTTCCCTACTTCGCTTCCCAGATGCGAACGAGGAGAATCATACATCGAATTTGCAAGCACCACATTGAACAACATATAGAAATTGTGTTCGACATGTAAATCGATCAACCCAAAGGGAAGTCAATTCAAACTCGACCTTCACATGTCGAAATTATCGGGTGCACATCAAAACCAATTTTGACCCAAGTATAATCGTTCGATGCGAAAACTCGTTCGTCCCCAAGACTCCAATTCGACTCCAAGTATGTTTGATCGTAATTTGAACTACTCCAACACAATTCGAAATAAACTGCTAAACATGCTTTCGATGTAAAACGTTTCCAGATGCGAAATCTAACTCCAATTAAAGGCAATTTCGTTCGACCTGATGTCCAAGGTGTCACACCCCAAAACCAAGAACGGCAGAAACGTTCTGGGGCGGAGGACATCATATATAGTATCACAACACAGAATAATAGTAAACAAGCAAACAACATCATCTATTTCATTAATAATATAATTTTAATACAAGTGTGTTCTGTGGTTTATAAGACACCAAATATGAATCAAAATAAGAGATGAGTCTTGTGTGGGCTCCATCTTCTGAAAAGCTGGCCTCAGTACCAGTCTACTGATGACCTAAGAATGCAAGTTATTTTGAAAGAGTTTATCAGCATTAAAGCTGATGAGTTCATAAGTATTTAGTGTCATAATTTGTATGAAAATGTTTGTAAGTGTTTGAATGTATGAGTACGTAAAATGTTTGTAGTAATTGTTTGTATCTCCTAGAAAATCCTATATTTTCCATTAAAAGCAGCCTTCTACCAAGGCATCAAGTGTATTGTATGTATGTTCATTGTAAAAAACGAGTATATTTCCCAATTGTGACTATTATTAATAAAATATAGTTTTCACATTACTCTTTATTGTGAGGAGATCACAAAGTAGATGTAAAGGGAAAATAATGAAGTATTGTAGTATTATGATAATATAACTACTCTTGTACTAACTACCTTAAACCAATTGTTAATTACGGTATAATGTGATGTAATTGTAACCATACTTGATCCACCTAGTGAAACACGACGTTCGAAGGCGTCGAGATGTTATGACATTCGTCAGCCGAAGACCTGCAGGTCCCACTATAGCTAGCAGCAAGGTGGAGGATGGTCAGTCCAGTATAGATCTATGCACGAATTCACACTCTCCCTTCAGGATACTTTGGATACAAGATGAGCCATGACAAAAATGCCATGCCCCGAAGTAGTGAGTCACATTTATGTTATAGTGTGTATGTAATGTATGGATTAGTGTAGTGTATGTCTCCCGTGACTCTCATCATAGTAAGTTCTTTAGTATAGTATATAGTGTGTTTGAATAGTATGTACTAGTGTATGTTCTCTCTGTCTAGTGAGTACTATGTTCTCTCTTAATCTCGTTATAGTATGTTCAGTTGTATAGTGTAGTGTATGTATTGTTTACAGTATGTATTGACTCATATATGAACTGACTCTTTGTATGTTTACTAGAAATAGTAAGTAGTATACCTCTAAACTATACCTATTATAGTTTACTAGTAATGTTGTGTGTATATCTGAGTGTATCGAAATAAGATAACAAGCTCTTATGTCTATACATATAGACATGATATACAACTAAGGATCAAACGACACTTGGACAAACAATAAGGTGCTCTAAGTCCACAACCAAACGAGGAACAGGAAATAGAGCGTATTATCAGTCCTAAGTCCTTCAAACCTTACTTATATAACTATATATGTATTGGATATGATTTGGCAATATAAGAGTTGAAAGAATTGAAAGTAAAGATATGGAAACTAAAACTAAGTTTTATAAAGGGTTTAACATGTAAAAGTGTTTGATAATCATTTGCAAGTGGTTTTGTTGACAAATTAAAGTATAGTAAATCCATTTGTATGCTAGTTATTCATCACATGTGATTGATATAATTGATGGGTTTTAGCCATAAGAACTTTCCTATGTGCGCATGCAAAACCCTAATGCTCGGATCTAGGCTTTCTAATTAAACATGCTTTAAATCCAAGACTTCTAATGCCTAATTAGGTTAAATAACAACATTGAAATAGATCTAGAACCATACCTTTGAATTCCTTGTTGATCTTGTTGTCTTGGAGCTTCTAGAGTCACAAATGTCACTCCTCTAATGGTTTACAAAAACCAATAGCAAGAAAGATGATTTAGGAGAGAGGAGAGGGGAGAAATTTGGCCAGAGTGTCTCTACTTTAGATGGTGTGTCGAATTCCCTCACCCCTAGGGTCTATTTATACTTGTAGACTCCTTAAGGATTACAGCTTTAACCCTAATTGGATAACTTAGACTCTAAGTTATCCATATCCTTTCCTTGA